AGAGACAAATCAGAATTCCTCCCCAACCAAGCAGGTCTGCTGCTTTTCCTACCAAGGCAGGGATTCATCAGTTTCCTAATACCTCTTGGATAGAGACACTTTTCTCTCTATCAGAGTAGGAACTCCCAAAGGCTGAGATCAGACTGTACTCCTGCTTTTTCAGCAGCCAGAGAGAGACTACCTTTGGCTGTCTGTAGTGATCCAGGAACAAAACTCAAAATCAAAGTGAGTCTAGCACCCACACCTTTCAGTTCTAAACCTGGGAAGCCTTAAGGTCTCCTCTGCAGCTGAGTCTAAATATGCTCTTCTTAGCCTAGTAATACTGAGGTTGCATGGATGGAAGTAGTAGAAACTTAAACACAAGTCATTCTTCTTGGGCTGAGAATGTAGCTCAGTGGGAGAGTTCCTGCCTAGCATGTATGAAGCCCTAGTTTGATCCCCAGGATTGCAATTAAGAAACACACACACACACACACACGTCATCTTTCTTAGAACACTGTTCACCTAATTCATGTCAGTTGTATTTGAGTATCTTAAAATCTACAACAGGAATTTCTCCCATGCTTTGGGCCTTTAATATATACTAAGTACTGCATTATACGTTTAAATGCATTATTTAATTTAACCCTCTCGACAATGCTGAGACTAAGAGAAGGTAGATAATTTGCCCAAGAATAGCCACACTGCTAAGTGGTAACACTTGAGCTTTTACATCTGTCTTACTCCAAAGATCTCGAAATTCTGGTGACACTGAGGGGAGATGTGGGTTGCGGGTTAAGTCTGTACGCACACACTGGACAGAAATCTTGCAGCCCTCTCTACTCACCGCGGGGTGCCCAGATGACAGGCACTGAGCACCGCGAGAAGCGTGTGGGGAAGGACGCTGAGCACCAGCTGAGTGAAGCAGTGGCCCGTGGTGTTCCCCTCCCACAGCGGGAGTGGCCGCGCAGTGCTGGTGCCGCACAGCTGAGCCAGGACCCGCTCCACGGACATTTCACCAGAGCGGAATGCTGAGCTAAAAACCAGGAAAGAGAGCTCGTCCAAGGGTACGTCCCAATCGAGTTTTCCCGCCCTGTCCCCGCCCCTCGATCCTGACCCTCCCCTCACTCCCGCCCCAGGCCAGACCCCGCCCACTCTCGCGGTACCTCAGAGGATGAAAAAGAAATTTCACTTCCCAGAGTTGGCTGATTTCTGGTCAGGTCCGCTACTAAGCTCAACTCTTCCCACTCCTGTGACTGTCTTCTCCCAGTGATCCGGAACCTCAAACCTAAAGAAGTTGCTTTCCGCCGGATTCCGATACCTCAAGTACAGGTGGATGGAAAAGAACGTGTGGCTGATCAGGCTTCTCGGGCAGGCTCGGCGGGCGCCCCCTAGAGTTGGGAAGACTTACCAGATCGTGTTAGCTCCCCCTTGGCAGGGCTTCTACGCGCGCTTGCGCACCGCTTTCCTCTCGGTGCGGTTTCTGTACACGTGTTCCGCTGCCATCGTACAGTTGTACGGGCCTTGCGTGTGGGCTGGTCTGCTACCTAGCGCAGGTTCATTTTACACCGTCTCACTTGGAATATTCGCTCCTATCCACTCACTGCTTACTAGATGGCACAAGCATTTCACTTAAATGCTTGTAACTTACAGAGCTGAGGTCCAAACGTGCCTGCTACAGTAAGAGGTAACGCTGCTTTAAAACGTTTACAAACATTTATATATA